AGCAGCTTCATTGTTGGCATCAGATGACCCTGTTCAATAAAAGGTATAGACAGTCAGCAGATCCCACTTCCTCCACTCTGACACACGGTTTCAGCACCCTACGGATGCCTTGCAGCTGTAATAATAGGTGGACCAGTTAGGACAATTATATACAGTATGTAGTGTTGAAATATTTGATAAAACTATCTAATCACACAATTGACATTTGCAAGTATTTTATATAAACTGAAATACAGGTGTGTCCATACACACTACTACTCCACATCAATGTTTTTTATTCAACCAGAATTAGCTAGAATGGTAACCACAGATTACAGACCAGTGTTAGGGCCAAATATTGCAATGTTAACAAAAATGAAATATAATCTCTGTGCCTGACCCATGTTTCTAATATGCTCCACAATGTTTTTTTTGAACCCATGGTACTCTCTTTCATGAAAATCATTGCAATATTTTGTTTGTAGTCCTGCTGTTCCACTTGTTTTTTTTTTCAGTAAGCAAAATGTGAACTTCATAGTAAACTCAAATAAAAATGTTTGATGAGCAACCAGATTGAAACCAACATTTCTTTGTAGTTGTTTCACCAAGTCACAGTATTAACGTTAATTAAAAACAGCTGCATAAACTCTGCCTTGAGGTTCTCAATATATCCTGACAATTCAACAAGTGTCACATGCCACAGCTTTTAATCATGTAAGCTACAGCGGAAATTGTGGCTCTTGTGATTGAAAATTGCAAGTTTATAGGTTCCCTAACCCACCCAGTGGTCTAGCTCACTGTGATGTCTCCCTTCTAACACGTGCTCTATAAATTCCTTAGATGTTGCATTCATTGAAGGAGAAGACTGATTATTTCCTGCTGACATTGAAACCTAGTGTATCTCACTACTACTTATGTAAAATGCTAACAATCTACTGACTTTCCATCACATGCTTTTCGTTGTTTGAATTGCATCATATACTGATCCAATTAGTGTTGGAAACACACAAATGTACAGGTACTAGTTTAGTAAAGATGGATGATGGGCCTTTCTCAGGTCAGACAGTTGGTTCTTTGTCCCACTGTCAACTTTGACATATGTGTTTAATACAGTGTGTGTATGTGTGTGTGCATGCGCGTGTGTCAACATTTGATTTACTGTAGCTATCTGTCGTAATCCTGTTACTTTCTCCAGGGCAGTGCCAATTGGCACACACACGTTTCAGTCACACTGTCCCATTCACCCTCTCTCCCTAAAAAACGACACACCTTTTCAGGTAGAAATAAGGATTATGCAATCTCAGGCTGCACCTTTTTAGTTCAACAATTGATAAGTTGTTCATTTTGGTTTTAGACAAGTCATTTGTTAATTTGTTTTCATCCTGAATGACATATTTCCAAGAAACTTATGAGCACAAGTGGTGCTTCTGCATTATCTAGAAAGTCTGTTTTTATTAAATTGACTGAGACCCCGTTTACACGAGAACAAAACGGGTTGGATCCGCATAGTTTCTCTTGCGTACAGCCCTTTCATTTACACGAGGCCGTAACAAAACGATAGAAACGGACCCCACAAACGATAATGGGTCCCAAGGTGGATAGATTTGCAAACGAAAGGCTCTGGGGGGTCCAACCGGGTCCAACGGCTCCGTGTAATCGCCTCTATACGATCATTTCCTGAAAAAATAACGATAGCCCCCCGCTCTCCCCACCTCCCCCCGCCTCTCCCCACCTCACCGGCATATGTACTACAGCGTTTCCAGCGTTCTCGTGTGAACAGACACGTCAAATGAAACAAATACGTGTGAACGGAAGACTTTTTTGAAAACGCATACTGTGCATAAACGCAAACGTTCCCGTGTGAGCAGCACCTAAGCTGTCAACACAATTATGAGTGTTAGTCTGCTAAACATGTATTTGGTCGAGGGCCAGCCCTGTTGTTGAGGCAGTAGAAGAAATACATTTGTGTCTTTAATTCTGCACTGAGAACACAGTATTCAGGAACTACATTGAATAGTTTTCCTCTGCTGTCAGAAGTGTATTCCAGGCTGCTCAGTCATGTTCAGAGTCCCATTGCTTATCAAGACCTCATAAATCCTCACAGAAGCGACACACCTGTGGGAGTCTCATTATGAGGATCTCTCAGTGTGTGCAATGCCCCTTGTACTCTTCCAGGATGTGCCCTGTAGAGGTGGGTAAGCAGTAAACGATCATTAGACATATTCCATTGATGGAAGAAAAGTTATCTGGTAGAGTCTGGCAATGTGTTTTAAACATTTTCTCCAGCCTTGCCTACTCCTCCTTACATGATTCTCTTTTTCCCTCCCTTTTTTTCCAAATCCTATCAAATAGTCCTCAGCTGGTGTTGCTGTGAGTCAGAATGAGTCACTCGAATACTGAAACATGCACATAATGCTTTTAAAATTAGAGATGAGGAGACCCTTGAAAAATATTTACGGCAATGTGGAACTGATGAAGGTGTGCATCCCATATCAACACAACTCTAATTAATGCTCCCTGCTAATCTAATTTAATTTGTGCAGTGGAAAGGTTTAATTGGCCCAAGGAATAGATTGAACAAGACTCAGTCGGATAGAAACTGAAGCTAATCTAGTCTGGTCCTTAGTTAAACAGGGCGCCAAGATGTCTAAAGTAAAGCTGGGACTTGTTGTTCAGACATTAAAGTCAATTTCATGAAGGGCTTTTGTCATATTTCATGTTTGATCATTGTTCTATGCAGATCCTGAAGGCAGCAGTGCAGCTAAATGACACATTCCATGTCTGCTAAGCATGTAGCAATAGCCATTCCAAAAATAGAGCATTATATTAACAAATTACATTTAATATTTGAATAATATGAAAAGAGTCCACAGCCTGGCTAACATTTATTTGAGGGTATTGCAGTGAGTCTTTGAGTTCAATGCTAATGTCAGCTACAGTATGCTAACATGCTGATGATCACTTATAGTTTAGTCAGGAGTTACTATTTATCTTGGTACACATATGACACACTGAGCATTTTCATCAGCTATTTGCATTTTAGTGGAAGAAGATTGATTATGGACTTTATTGCATTTACTCTGTTTTTTTCCGTTAAACATTCTGAGCTTATTTTTATGTATCAGCTGACCTGTGTAATGTTTGAATTGAACTATATTCCACTACTGTACAGGACCCAGGTGTCACAGGAAAATCAGGCGCTTGTGTTGTCATCTGCCAGAGTATAGGGTGTAAAAGTGCGCGAGTACAGGGGCCACCGACAGACCCATAAATAACACTAAGGAGCTTGTCCGGCTGAATGCAGATCTGAGGATTAACTGGAGGCAAGCTGCAGCAGCGTAGGGAGTGTGTGCAGGCCTGAGCACGGCAGAAGGGTGTGGTGAGATGTTTCATGAGTGTTGGATGTAAGCTCAGCTGTGACGGTCGGCAGGCTTGAATAGACAAGAATCACAAGATGCAGGAAGTTAAGTGGCTGGAGGGCTGATTTTTTTTAGCTTTGTTTACCACATGTGTTCCCCCGGTCAGAACTGATTGATGTGGCCAGGGAAAGGAAAGTTTGGGCCTCTCTGCTACCTCCGCGACCCGACCACGGATAAGCGGGAGAAGATGGATGGATGGATGGATGTATTTTGAGACATTCATTTACGTAGAAAAATGATGCCTGTGAAAAGAAGATAGCAATCTAGAAATGAGTTTCACATCACACAGGAAGGCCTGATTAGAAATTAATCTTCAATTTCAATATTCAATCTGTTAAAGGCCCCATGTCATGCTTTTCCGGTTATTACCCGTCCCCTTGTGTGTTATGTAGCTTTTTCTGCATGTAAACGGTCTGCAGAGTCACAAACCCTCAAAGTACACCCTGTAGCGAGTAAAACTCTAACACAGAAAATACCTGTCTGTGCTGCCCCAGAACGCCTCGTTCGAGATTTCTCGTTTTCTTTCTGGGTACAGTGACGTGACCATACCCAAATGGACCCATTGGTCCAAATGGACCAATCCGTGGAGCTCCTCTCACACACACACATACACACACACACACACACACACACACACACACACACACACACACACACACACACACACACACACACACATACACTTATCATCTGCCTCCTCTATCTTACTCCACATTCAGGATAACCTGATCCGCAGACTCTCCCCAGAGACAGTGCCACTGAACTGAACTGGACTAGAGTGTGTGTGTGTGTGTGTGTGTGTGTGTGTGTGTGTGTGTGTGTGTGTGTGTGTGTGTGTGTGTGTGTGTGTGTGTGTGTGTCCGTCCTTTGGCTCCATCAGCCCAAACAACAGAGGCCCCATTGACTGTGGCAAACTACAGCCCTCCTCTCCCATTTCCCCTCTCTTTCAGCACGTCCATCCCCACCTGTGGTTAGTCTGTCTCCAGATAATGATACACAAGGGCTCGTGGAGTGCTTATTAAATACAATTTTGTGTTATTTTGTGTTTTGGTTCAATTTGCTGCTAATTAATGTAGACAGTACTGAGCACAAGTTTTCGAAAATGGGTGTTTTGTGTTATTATGTGGTTGGTTTTAAAAAGATGTTGCCTCACATACACACTTTTATTTGATATGCACTTTTGCCGGAGAAGAGCAGGAGTTGGTAAATGGGATTACTGTACATGCCGCCTGACCCCTGTCTCTTCATGAGAAACAGGGGAAGGTTATACAGAGTGTTGAGGAATGTCTTTAAGCCTTGTGAAGACCAGCTCTCTCTTTTGCTTTCGGTTTCTCACGCTCTCTCTCCCCCCCTTCATTTAATGTTATTTCAGAAAAGCTCGCTCTCTCTGTTTGTGATTTGTATGGCGAGGCTTTTGAATAGCGCCAGTGTTCCTTATTTAGAAAACTGAGACGCATCTGCATTTTGACAAATGTGTGCACTTTAGTTGCTTATCCTCCATTTTTCTTTTACTTGTCCCCATTTTTCTATGCATTATATACAATTTTAACGTAACAATTAGTGGGAATACTCTTTTAATCTGTATTCTGTTTGCCTCTGCAGGTTATGAGTAATGGAAGCAGGGTCGGTGGTGCGTGCCGTCTTTGAGTTCCTTCCCAGCGTCTCCGAGGAGCTGCCACTCTTCCCCGGTGATGTCATCGAGGTGCTCAGTGTCGTGGATGAGTTCTGGTTGCTTGGTAACAAAGATGGCGTCACAGGTAAGTTGTCAGGGGTCATTATCATTGTATAGAAACCTTTATGGTTGAGTATTTCTGTTTTGAATTACAACCATAGAAAACAACATGGAAAATCGTACTTTCCCACCACACGGAAAACTGTGTTTGGTCTTTCATTTGTGCTTGTTTGATGCAATATAACAAATGTTTGACAAGGCATGGTTCACTTCCTCTCTGAGGTCTGCGTTACACGATCTGGAGGATTCAATATTAAACATTGTAGCCCTTCATAAGGTCTGGGAATTGAGAACGATTTTGAAAATACTTCTGAAGTGAAGAGGGGTGAATTAGGTATTGCAGATTCAGTTCATGAATAAGTTCTTACTTTATGTTCAGGTGTGAAGAGGATGATCGCAATTAATTCTGGGCAAGATGAAAAGGTGCATCATTTTTTATTAGCTTTCGCTGCTTTTTTGAAGTGTTTTTCTTCCAGACATCCATTTATTTTTCGGAGGAAGAAGATCACTTAAGATAAGAAAGGGGATTCCCTCAGAGGGGAAGTGCGAATGGGAAGGCAATGTGGCCTTGCTGTACTGTTCCTGGAAAACACAGATGTTAATACATTGATGTCAGGACTTCCCTGGAAAGATGAGAAACTGGCTTTGGTGTCTATTCAAATAATCTCTTTTATTAAATTAAATCCAGATGTTCTTGATGTGTTTGCATTCCCTAAATATTTGAATCAGTTTCAAATCTGCCACGTTACATGTCATTTGTTAGACGCTTTTATCCAAAGCAACTTACATACATTCAGTACTGTGGGCAATCCCCACAGGAGCAATTTGAGGTGAAGTGTCTTGCTCAGGGACACAACGACAAGCTGACTGCAGTGGGACTCGAACTTGCTATCCCCTGATTCGAAGTCCAGCACACTATCCACCGAGCCACAGCCTCCCACAAAGAGAAAAGTGTTCAACCCTGAAAGACTATTGGCTTTTTTCTAATATGAGTTGAGAATTGTTGTACTACTCTAAGTAGTTATAGAAAAACAGCAGCCCTATCAGTCATTCCTGTAGGATCTTAAACTGAGTAATATGTCGTTTTCTTAAAAAAAATTACCCTTTCATCTCCCTATGCTGATGCTTTCTGCTCATTCTTTTTTTTTTCATTATAGTGTACAGTAATCGATGCCATTTCATTTATATTGTAATATCACAGTACACTCACTACACTCCCCCCTCCCTCCCTCCACCCGCACATGCCCACAGGCGAAACCAAAAAATGCTTATCAATATAACTTAAACAATAAAGCCATGAAAATAAACATAAAACGGAAAAGTAAAAAACCGAAAAGAAAAAAAAATATACAAAAAAGAAAAATTATAAAATACAGCGACAATGTAGACAATGACAACACCACAACTAGTATTTCCGACCGTCAGGAAAAATAGCCACAAAGTGCACCATTCCATCACTGGTCATATCTCAGATTTATTTCCAAATAAGAAAACAATGGCAACCACAGAGCTTGAAAGATATGTCCACTATTATATTTTTCCAATGTCATTTTCTCCAGAGGTAAACAATGTGTTATCTGATCAATGGTGTG